AAGCATTTCATGTGACTCATCCGACCTGGGCGCTCAGCTTTAGTTGAGGCCAATCTGGTTCTCCTTCATACCCGGCTTTTGCTTACACTTATAACTCGTTTCTACTGCGCTAATGGCACAATCAATCTGAGACGACGAGGTAGTTAGGGGGATAAAGTGTAAAAGTGTTGCTTGTGGCGGATGTTAAGGCAAAGAAAAATTATATTTGGTAAGTCGTAGCACTCTATATTAGGCTCTAAAACTAAGAACAACAATCTCTTGAACAGCATTTACAAAAGTCATAATAAGTCGAAAAGTTAGAAATTGATTGTCAAAGTCGTTACTCCAATTCTTCCTACAAAGCATGGCTTTTATAGAATATGTCAAATTACAAAGCCTTCTTTCCAGGGTCAGGACTTTGCCTCATTGATCGGTGGGCTTCTCGGTGGAGCAGGAGGTGGTGGTGGTGGAGGAGGAAATCCTTTGGGGGTAAGGGTATATTTCAGTCAGTTTATAACTTGACTTTTGGACTTCCGCACTTCGACGCTCTTTCTAACCATGAAAGCAATCAAGTAACTTCGAATTACTGGTTACTCAAATTATCTACACTAAAAACATTTTGTTGATTTATTTGGCTTTTGTTGGCAATACTGAAAATATCCAGAAACTTTAAGTACTGATTTATAGAGTTTTTGAATGACACGCTAGCTTTTATTACCTTACCCCACAAGGTTCAAATATCTACATCTAGGGACTCTTCGCTGGCTTGGGAAAAGGAGGAGCAGGCGGCAAAGCTCCCGACATTGCTAGCCTATTCAGCGGATTTCTAGGAGTGAGTGGAAGTGAAGCATTGTCTCACTAACCAAAAATCTCTCCAGCTATATTCGTATACTTTGTTTCAGAAAGGTGGCGGAACTCCACCTCTGTTTCCAATGCCTGGTGGTCCGCCACCGGCACCTGCCCCAGCCCCTGGAAGAGGCATTCAAGGCCCAACAAACATAGCTATACCTGATTACTCGGATTATGACGAGAAAACAGTGAGCAATAGGGATAATGATAGCAATACATAATTTAACTATAGCAATTGTCTAGAAAGTGTTACGTTGTGTCAATGCAATATAATATATGGTATATTTTGGAAAGTTTAAATAAA